GGCGGCGGCGGGGGCGGCGGCGGCGGCGGCGGAACTGCCATTGCCTCCATAACGTGTGGCGACACCTCCGCCTCAGCCTCAGAGTTCTTGAGCCCTCGTGTGCACAGCATCTGTACTGCCAGCGCCCACGCCCACTCTACCGCGAGCACTGTGCTGATACAAGAGCGCGGCGGCCTTGGGGCGGGGACGGTAATGGCAGCAGCGGGCCATGGCCTCAGTCCCTACGTCCGTAGCGGCGTCAGTGGGCTTTTGTCACTTCTGCCGCCGCCACCACCGTCGCCTCTGCTTGGAGTGGCTGTGTCTGGCGGTATCAGCGGCGCAATGCTGTCGACATCACAACCGCAAAGCGCATCTCGACGGCCCCCGTCGCGGGTATTGGCGTTCGCCGCGAGTCTCCGTGGCGCGCCGCCAGAGGCGGCAGTAGCGGCGGGTCTGCTACGGCCAAACCCGCCGCCGGCCACCGGGACGTTCATGCTGGCACTCGGGTCGTCAACGGTGTCAGCAGTTGTGCCGACAGCGGCGGCGGCAACGGCGATACCTTCAACAACCCTAGTCAGCAACACTGCTACTGCGTTTACTCGGCGAGTCAGCCAGCAGGCGCTTGCCCTCGACAGCGGCGTCGGCAGGGGTGGCGACGGCGGCGTTTCAACCGGTCGTAACGGAAGCGCAATCTTGCCCTTCATCAGTGGCCTCAGAACAATGGATGACATTCGGGAGGTGCGTGTACGGTACATGAAGGTACGTGGGCGTACGTCAGCGTGTACGAACGTACATGAAGTAAAGGAGATCATGTTCATAAGCACATGAACTGCAAGGAGAATACGAAGTTAAAATAATGAACTAGTGAAGTCCATAAAGCAACACGTGGTGTGTATATATTAGGCACCGACGTAAGGGGGCTTGGACGGCGCCTCTGCGAACCCGCCTGTGCTTTTCTACGCGTACAAATCCTCGATCAGCCCCAAACGGTGGTTCAAAACAAGTTACGGGTGAAAACATCCAGCGCGTGGGAAGGGATATTGAGATATTGCATTTCGATGACATTTATGAACCAGTTGGTGGCTGCCGGGTGTTGCGCAGGTGCAGGTTGCCCTTGGATTGCGGCCGGGACCCTCCGTCACCCGAGAAGATTCCATAATCCATAATCATCAAAATCATCAATATCACCATCAACATCATCAAAATGGCCGTCCCGCCCAGTCATTACGCAAGACGAAGTCCTCTTGCTTGCTGCAGTACAGCACGTCTCTGGCTGCCGGAAATTGTGGTGCGATTCAACCTGCCGTCCCCTCCCAAACGCTTGCCGGCGGTGTTGGCCGCGGTGTTGGCGGCGGCGGTGGCGACGGCGCCGGCCCGTATCAACCGCTGCTTCTGCGGTCCAACAACACCCATTGCATCCAGCTTGCGTCACCTCCCTGCCGCCGCGCCGGCCCCGCAACTACAACCTCCACCACCACCGCCACCGCCACCGTCACCCCTGCGCCCACCCTACGGGAGCTGGATCTATTCTCTACAGAGGATGAAATCGCTCCCGGCCTTTCCACTTGGTTGGAGCACAGCAACGACAACAATGAGGGCGACAGACCTATGAACCGTGGGCTGGCCGTCAGCATAAGTGGCATATGTGCCATCAAGGACAGTGGTGACGGCGCCGCTTCCGTGATGAAGTGCGCCCGATCTGAGCATGCGGTCAATGCGGCGATGGCAGCAAGGTATCCGGGCAACCTCCCTGCGGACACACTTGAAGTTGACGGTGGTGAATCTCTAAACTTGGTAGAACTGCAGGAAGACAAGCCTGGGGGCTTGACCTCAACAGCAATATCCATCCTGCAGTCCCGGGTGGTAATAACCGACTCACGGGTCTTGCATGGCGGCGGCGCCGGCTGTGACAGCAGGTCGCAGGACGTGCTCGGGGATTCAGCGGCCGGCGCGGCAACGACGATGATGACGGCGGCCGCAGACGCCACCGCTGCCGCCTCCGCCAGCTCCTCCCCCTCCGCCAGCGAGAGCTCCTCCAGTGATTCCTCCGAATGCTGGCATGAGGTCCTGGCAGTTGGTTTGTGTGACCCCGCCTCCTGTCGCCGGGTGGTCGTGGTGATGCAACGCGATGTGACTGCCAAGGTGGTGGCGGAGAGACACGTGGCGCAGGTTTCGGAGACGGAGCACCGGCTGCTGGAGCAGATCTTCCCGAGACATGGTACGGCAGGGGTATGTGTGTGTGTGTGTTTGTGCGAGGCAGTGGAGGAAACAGCGTAGGGCCGGGGGAGGGGGAGGGCGGGAGAGGAGCACAAGGGTCGCCCGTCCATCTGCTGCAAAGCCACGCTGCTAGGGTCACCACCACGAGCGGGGAGAGGAGGACAGGGCAGGATGGGACGGGGTGACCCAGCAGTAACCACAACAACACTTTGGGCTGTAGCGGGGTCTTCATGCTCGTACTGCTTTACTACGGTGCAGTAAAGCTCAAGCCAAGGGCCGACACACTATGCTCGTGAACACCTAGTCCTATCGGGACATCGAGACCCATCCAAGCATCCAACCAAACAAACCAAATATACACGCACATACGTCTGACGCCGTTGCGTGGGTTACCTCCTTTCTCTATCCCCCGTCAACTCCACAACAAATACGCCGTACAGTGTTGCAGTACATGACAGAACAGATCCCCTCCACGACCGAAGACGCGAGCGGCGAGGTTGTGGACGAGAGCTGGCGGCCGTACGTACGGGACTGCACCCAGTTGGCGACACTGCACGATACGGTGAGCTGCGAACAGAAATATTCAGAGCGGTCCCTGCCTGAGCGGTCCCTGCCTCGATGGTCACACTTCGGTGTAGGCAGCAGTTCCCAGTAAAAAGTAGTAGGTGTGCAGTTCCGAGCTGCTTACTAAGTGATCCACACCGGTCCTGAGAAACCCACGGATCTTTACGTTTTTTAAAAGTAGGCAATTCGAGAGTTCGGGATTCGGGCTATATTACTACGTGGGGAAATGTCCCCAAGTGTTAAGTCCCCGCCCATGGTGTGGTCATGGCGTAGCTGAATAACCAGTGAAAGGCTGCGTGCCTTTCACTAGTACGCGTACATACATACGCGCACGCAGGCGGCTGGCAGAGGTTAATGCCTGACTCTTGCTCCCGGATTGTCCTGGTTCAAATCCGCCTGCCGACTTCTCGGGTGTTCGAGAAGTGTTGAAATGGGAGGAGGCCCCCCATCTTATGGACGGTGTAGGACGTGATATTATCAACTGTCGAGCTGACCAGGAACTAAGTTGAGGCGCCGTTGATCCGCTAGATTTGGTTGGATGCTGGTGGTGAGTTGCTGAACTCAACGAATACGTTCTGAAGTCGGATGGGGTGAACGGATTAGGGTGCCCCTCTAGCAGGGGAGAGCAAGGAACTGCCTCGGGAAAGGGGGCCGCTGGTGAAGCTTAACCACCCTGTAACGACATACATACGCGCGGGGGGCCCAGGCTGCGCATGCAAGTACATTATCATTTGGGCGGCTGCTGGCCGTATTATGTATTGTATATATATTTCATGTTGTTGTACTGACCGTTGGTCAGCGGCATGTGTTTACACACACACAACGGTCCCGTCAGGGGCCGCACGTAGGATACGGGGCCGCCTGAATCTGGCCGCGACACCCGCTCGTCACACGCCCGCCCCAAATTTCGCGTCTGCGTCTGCGTCCCCCTCCCCCCTCCATATCCCACATTGTCCTTATGCAGGTCACTCTGCTTTTTGCGGACATCCCCGGTGTGTAAGCCGTATGGAGGCGCTGAGGCGGATGATCGGTAGTTATGTTGGTTAGCCGGTTGGTTGGTGTGTAACGCCTTACTAGCGTTGTAGAGTTAGCGCAATGCTACAAGAGACGTGAATCGAACCCAACGAATTGTTTATGAGAAATTTTAAGGTTATATACATAAAGTACTTCCTAATCAGGAGAGCGACACTTGTTTGGGTTTCATACCCTAATGGACAGACACCGCCGGTCCAACCTGCCGTACATCAGTTGGTCAAAAGCGGCACACTCCACGACAGCAGTCGTTGCGGCCTCCTAAGCAACGAGTATGTTGTATCCGCGAGGGAGCCTGGGTCAGATAAGCTTTTGTCAACCTATAAGCTTACTAGGAGGATTCCTGTCTTTTGCGTTTTCCTGCTTTTTTCGTGGCCTTTTGTTGGGTGTTTTGTGAGCCCAGGCCTTGGCAGAGCGAATCCGTCCTGTAACCAGTGGTTACTACCTAACTCTCTAACAGGTGGTTAGGTGGTTAGGTGGTAAGGTGGTTGATGAAAAGTTGGAAGCTGCGATTAAGGAAACAGCTTTCCTGCCTGCCTGCCTGCCTGCCTGCCTGCCTGCCTGCCTGCCTGCCTGCCTGCCTGCCTGCCTGCCTGCCTGCCTGCCTGCCTGCCTGCCTGCCTGCCATCGTTCCGACTACGACGCCCTTGCCATGCCGTCCATCCACTTTGTCCTTGCGTTCAGATTTCAAGTCGGTGTATGAGAACCACCCCCCCCGAGTAGCCATGACACTGCTGCACAGCATCTTCACCGCCTTTGACGCGCTGCTCGATCAGTACGGCGTCTTCAAGGTACGGAAAGCTCTATCCCGGGCAGTAGTAGTACATGTTCAGGAACGCGCGGCCCTAGCTGGATTGGAACTACTAACCTGCTGCCCATCACAATGCAAGTACTGAGTAATCATTTACCGCCAAATCCAACAGCCGCATGAACAGGCAGGTAGCCGTTCCCCCAAATCAATATATATCTGTCGCTTTGGCCCATGCAATACATTTCTGTCCCATGTGCAGCTCACCGCCAAAAGTATCACCCCTATGGTCCGTTGTCGACGCGCCCTTTGTCGCGCCCACCACGCATGCCGTGCTGTCTTCACCTCCAGCGTGCCGTGCCGTGCCGTACATGTTACTTCTTATCCCAGCAGAGAAGAGAGCCACGTACAAGATCCTCTGCTGCTGATTCACCTTCCCAACCCCCCAACACACACATAGGTTGAGACCATCGGCGACTGCTATGTCGTTGCCGGGGGCCTTATTCGCGAGGACGAGGACGGCATGGCGGCAGTCCAGGGAGGGGGGACTGTGGACCCGGACCACGCGGAGAAGGTTTTCGCGTTCGCCAAGGTAGTAATGCCTCTTTTTCAGCTCTGCGAAGGAGGCTTCCTTCAGAACGGGAAAGGGCCTAGAAGTCATTAATAGCAAGACACTAGTGGTTGACAATGAAGTAGTGGTTGACAATGAAGTAGTCTGGTTAACGCAGACTGGTGCACACAAGGTAGATCTATAGACGTATACCGAGCAACGTTGCCTACATCCACACTCTCATCCGCTATTGCTTGGCCCCTCCGTCCCCCTTCATCCCTTCCTCTCTCCTCTCTTTCATCCCTCTCGCACCACCTCTCCCACCCACCCAACCCCTCTCCCTTCCCTCCAATCCCTTCCCCCCAATCCCTCCCCCCCAATCCCTCCCCTCCAATCCCTTCCCCCAAATCCCTCCCCCCAAATCCCTCCCCCCAATCCCTCCCCCCCAATCAGGCTATGTTGGTTGCCGCCTCCTCGGTCCGCCTCCCCACCACGGGCGCTCCCGTGAAGATCCGCGTGGGCATACACAGCGGGCCCGTGGTCAGCGGAGTGGTGGGAACACGCATGCCGAGGTTCTGTCTGTTTGGAGACACAGTCAATACAAGTACGTGCATGCCGGGGGGCCGGCGGCATGCATTACCTTGAGCACGTTTGTCCTCGTCGTTCATGAACACGAGGATCTTCAATCCAGCGAAAAAAGTTTGCTAGAATGTTTGGATGTTTCGTTGGGTGCTTGTTTTTGTATAATACACTTGCGTGTTCGATTGCATGCCTGCACGTATCTTTGCTTGGGGCGTTGGCAGACGTGCTGAAATGGTGCGCAGCATATCCGTCTTTCTATCTACTCCTCTGCATGTTTGGGGCAATATAGACAGGGGTCCCAAAATTCGGGACGCGGCCTATAGTATAGTGTACATCTATATCCCCTTCTTGATCCCGGTCTTATTCTTCCGAAAACTGCTGAAACAGTCGACCGAGCCAACCAGTAAAATGTAGCAACTGTCGTACAGTACAGCACACACATCGTTGGTAATTACGCGTTAACGTGCTAGACGTTTTCAGCGGCCACATGAAGGCACTGTGGCGAGTAACGAAGCTGGAGACGTGCGTGGACGGGAAGTTTACGCTCTCTGCTGCTCATCTGCAGACCTAAAACAACACATAATGAACACACATACGGCAGCACTCGCATCCTTCTCGCGAACCGGAATATTCCTCACACCCGCACATCTACACCCGCATTGTCGCCATGGCTCAGCCACTATAGGGGCCACTTGCATCCTTACGGTCCAGTCCGGTCCGGTCCGGAAGAGCGCGTCATCATTGATCAACTAGCGGCCCCTCCGATTTGTCGTCTTGCCGCCTTGCCGCCCCACGCACCCGCCCTCTCCGCCGTGCCCCCCGCTCTGCTGTGCTGTTTCCTCTGCAGCGAGTCGCATGGAGAGCACTTGCATTCCTGGAGCTATCCACGCTTCGGAAGAGTGTCACCAATGGCTTAAGCACCACATAGGGTGGCAAGACATGGGGGGCATACAGGTAGGCCGTGTCACTGTTATGTCCAGGGAGGGTGCACGCTGTGTTGTTGTTACAGGGTGGTTAAGCTGTTGCCATTGTGATGATGATACCAACGGATGTGCAGCGGGGGTCCATTGGGCCCAGGCAAGGAACTCTTTTATCCTTATTGCCATGCATGATGATGTTTTATTGACATTGTTGCGAAATTGTTACGCAGGTGAAAGGCAAGGGCCTTATGCGCACTTATCTGTGGACTCCGCCGCCGGCGGCGCAGATGTCCGCGGCGGCGGCGGTGGCGGCGGTGGCGGCGGGATCAGGTGCATCATCTGCTATCGATGCCGCCTCCGCCTCCGCCTTCACCACCGGCACTCTGCCGTACAACGCAGGCGACAGCGCCCACTCACCTTTTGAAGTTGCTGCCCGAAAGGCATCTGTTGCCGCCGCCGCCACAGGTACTACTCCAGGAGCTGCTGTCACGACTTACGCGAAAGGCGCTGCAGCCGCCGAAATAAGCCCCACCACCGCCGCAGCCACCGCTGCTGACATGAGGGTGTTGCCAAAATCGCAGCAGTAGACAGACGCATCGCAGGAACACATAGGTGCGTGTGCGTGCACAGCACAGCATGTATCTGTGTCTGTGTACATGTATGGCCGGCGACCTACCAGCAGCACTTGCAGCATCAGCACCACTAGCACCACTAGCACCACTCCCACTACCACCACTAGCAGTATTAGCAGTAGAGTGTAGTGTATATATTGGGTTGCTGGTGCATCTAAAAACAAACTGTTTCCGGTAAAAGCCGTCGCCACCGCTGCCTAGCAGCAACACCAAGCATCGCTCGCAGAAATATGTCTATGGCGCTCTAGCTTATTTTGCACAGAACTGTATGTCTCGCTGCGAAAGCGAGTGCCGGATGATTTTGCAGTCGTAATGAATGCTGACATCAGTGGCATCAGCAGCAATGATGATGGAATTAGCGCCTGAGACGAAAGCCGTTGTGACGAGAGCCGCTCCAGCACGATTTATTATACGTCGCGATTATTGCCCACACATGCACGCACGCACCCTCAGCAGCACAGGCGCACGCAGTCAAAGTCGCTGCAGACGTAATTGGTTGGCTGCGATTTTCTATTTTGCTCTAAAAATATGTGCGTTCATTTTTGCACGTATATATTATATATAAGTTTGTCGTATTTTAAATGGGGGTTTGCTGCGTGCTGAATCACGCTAGGTGCATGCATATGCGTAGTGAAGGTGAATGAATCCATATGGCTTTTGTTTATTGAGCGCCCATTCGTTTCAAGAAAGTTATGAAGCAGGTTATGTGCTGCCAGAGCCTTACCTGGCTAGGCAGTAACTGCTAATATTGCTTTCCCTTATCACGTACACCCGCTCGCTTGTGGAATATGTATGAGGGTGTTTTTATGGCAACCAAGTGGATGGAAGAGTATGCATGTTACTGCTCCATTTGGCGGAACCGCCGATGGTTCTACTGATGGATTCACACGCCATGTGTGTGTCTGTATGTCCGTCCTTCCGCCGTCTAATGAGTACGTCTATCTGCCGTTACCATTTCGCCGGTCAGTCGCCGGCCCTGTTTTGATAGGTTGTAGCCAGGTACGTACCATCCTCCTGTGGATTAGTTTTGAAGGTCCTTATGGATTATTATTATTACTATTATTATGCACCCCGTCGTCTACCACATGGTTGATGATAAGGGTGAATTGGTGCACGGTTGCTCGGTCAATCCTTTTTCTATTATCATCCTACATATCTGTTTCCATGGCTGGTTGCTACTCGGCCAGCAGAGCGTTAGTTATATGGTTATATGCATAACGTTTTGTCAGTTATTCAGGTTTACATACATACCTACATACATACCTGTTGAACACTGCCCATCCCATCAGCACTGGGCACATAAGCAACATTGGGCACATAAGCAACATTGGGCCAGATCAGTAGTACGGTGGGGGACCACGTGCGAACCCCTGGTGACGATCTGTTTATCGGCAGGCGGCTGGCAGAGGTTAAGGCCTGACTTCTGCTCCCAGTTGACCCAGTCGACCCGGGTTCAAATCCGCCTGCCGGCTCCTCGGGTGTTTGAGGGGTGATGAAATGGGAGGTGGCCCCCCATCTTATGGACGGTGTAGGACGTGATAATATCAACTTGCGAGCTGACCAGGAACTAAGTTGATGCGCCGTTGATCCGCTAGATTTGGTTGGATGCTGGTGGTGAGTTGCCGAACTCAACGAATACATTCTGAAGTCGGATGGGGTGACGGATTAGGGTGCCCCTCTAGCAGGGGAGAGCAGGGACTGCCCCGGGAAAGGGGGCCGCTGGCGAAGTTAACCACCCTGTAACAACATACATACCTGTGGCCTAAAGTACGTGTGTGTGCGCAAGTACAATGTCGACGGAGGGAGTCGATATACACCCGGATGGATGAGGGCTTTCCAGCGAGCGCCCTTATCGTACGGCCACACAAAGACTGTACGAGACGTGCAGTCGTATGTACGGTTGTCAGACCGTGCGGCCGTATATGCAATAATAAAAAATGTAGATAAAGCGGTTATATGTGTCCCCGTGCATGCATGCATGCGGTGAACACAGTCGTACATTCGTGTGGTCGTTCGTCCAATATGGTCGTTATGGCATTTGCTGAAGGCGAGTTCCATGTACGACAAATATGAGAACGGATTTTCACTAAGAGTTGTTTGGGCCGGTAAGTGGCAGGCGGCCACTATTATATATGTGAAGCTTAGTTGCTATTTTGTTGCGACGCGAGCTTACCGGTCATCATCGCTAGTGGGGCCCTGCTCTGACAGTGGAGGCTTATTTGCTCCCTTGCACATTTTCGAAGGTTAATTGTGTGATACTGTTCATGAGTGTACGATGAGGTTGAATTTTGGGAAGACTGAAAATCTCCAGATTTGATAACATTTTATTCCGATCTGAGCTGCTCAAGAATTGAGACGTGAATCTGTATGTGTAGGGTTAAGCCTGCGTGACGATGAGAAGCCACTTGCTGTTGAAAAAGCGCCGAGCGAGTCGCCGGGTGGATGGCAGGTAGGACGCCGGAGGAAATAAAAGAATCAGTAAAGACGAGCGAGGATAAGTATAGAAATACATAAATAATAGTAAATAATTAATGAAGTAAATGGATAGAGCGAGTGTAGGGGGAAGATGGAGAGATGCTAGAAGGGGAGAGCGAAGGAGGAGAGGATACAACCAGGAGGAGAGCGCGCGAGATATGCTACAAAAAGGAGAAGGAGAGCGAGATGGAGGATATAAGGAGTGGAAAGAAGGAGTATGGTAAGGGCGAGATAGGCTGAAAAGAGGAGATAAGCGGAGAGAGAGAGAGAGAGAGGGGGGGGGAGGGGGAGGAGGTGGATGGCAAGCCGATGGGCCCCCATCCTTGCTGGTAGCATTTACTGTAGCTGGCTGCTGCATCGACAGCAACACCATGTATACCGGCTATACTAGCTGTGTATGTATGTGTACATGCGTCGTATATCCATAGACGTCATTGCCACGTCATTGCCACGTCATTGCCACGTCATTGCCACCTGTTTGTTTTGAACCTCACCTCATCAGAGCGCAGACCCTGCCTACTGTTTGCCAGAAAGAAAACAATTCCTTTAAGGACATAAGAGGCAAGAAAGGATACCGATGTATTAAATCACTAAAAAACTAAAAAAGCAGGGGGCTGCTGCCAGCAGTAACACCCTTGGAGGACCTAGCTGTCATTCACTCTTGTTTGCCGCGTGGGCTAGGCTGGTAGCTAGCTAGTTTTTAGCATGGCATATATCTGCTGGCGTTTAAGAGGACATTGGCGGTAACCTTTCCCGATGACCGCCTGCGTTCGTGGTCTCTCCATCGCTTGCGTGGGGTGCGCCGTGAGCTTTACATCAATTCGCGCAGTTTTTGCTTCCTGGTCCCTGATAAGTTACCAAAAACGTTTCTGTATTTGTAAATGGACGTCGACCAGGTGTTCTTACTTTGGTTCCTGAGCATACGGTTGATGATGTAATGTTACAGAGTGGGAAGCTTCTGGGCCGCTTTATCACATTGTCAGTTCTAGATCATTTATCACCTTATAGCACCATCCACCACTACCACACTGTACTTCGCCATACGAACTGTAAGTCCAAGGCGGCGGATCCAGCCTTCAGGGACCCCTCCTCATCCATTCACCCGAACACCCGAAGAGACGGAGGGTTCGGCAATCGCCACCAACTCAGCGTGCGAATCTGGTCCATCAACTGTGACCTCAACTCCACATCTCAGCAGCTAGCCATAATCTCGCGCTCCCGACTAATTCGGGGGTCTCCCCAGGAATCGAACCCAGGACCTTAAACCGCTAACTGCAGTAGTGTCAACCCAGACCAGACCATGGTTGATGATGTGTGGGACAGGGGGGCATCATGTGAAGATATGATATCTTCACCCGTGGCCGCTACCCGGCGAAACCCTGCCTTCCCCGGTATTTCGGGGCACCCTCATCTAGTCCCCCTGTTCAACATCTCAGTGGATCGCTTAGGTTCCGCACCCTAAGAAAATGGATAGGAAATAAACAACGCGTTTTTTTCCACCATCAGCATCCAACGGAATCTGCCGGATCGACGGCGGCCCAACTCCATTCCTGGTCGGCTCGCGAGTCAACTTTATCCCAGTTCACCACCGTCCATCGACAAGGGGCGCTCTACCTTCCACCATCATCGACCCTAACAGGTCTCGATGTATGGTGCCAGACAGACACCGCTTCAGCAGCAGCTTGGTGGCGTTCTGTGCTCCTGTATGTATCCCATGACCCGGATCTTAGGTATTATGAGCTAGTGTCTGAGCGACTTGTGCCGTACATGCCGAGTACGGGAACGGGGACCAGCATCTACCAATGGCCATTAGTACACTACAGAAGAGACAAACAGCCAAGCCGCATGCTGACTGCGCGGCAACACCCGCCCGCCGCCCTCGGTGGTAAAACCCTAGAACACCAACTGCGCAGCCGCACTGAGACAAGGCGCGACACAATGTCAGGCCATATGACGTGCTAACAGACACAAGAAATGCGGATGGATCACTCCGACTAATGACCCAGTCGCGCACAAAGGACTAAACAGGGGAGCGCCGAGACAGACTGCAACAACAAGTTGCCCTTCAAAACAAAGGACAGCCCAACGACGACAAAGCAGCCGCTAACAACATCACAGAACAACACGAGAGTGCAACTCGGGACCTAGAACCTGAACGCCAGAAACTGAAAACTCTCGGGCCCGAGCCCCTAGAAAGCCGCGGCCGAGCTGGATATGAGGAGCCCGGCAGTCCAAAGAGGGGGCACCTGAGGGAAAAC